CAAAAATGGGGTATAACTATGAATGTCTATTTTGTATCTGTGTATTCAAAGTGGTTGGGATAGATATATAGTTGCATTCTCTTAATGAATTGAATGATTTGTTCTAATGGTGTTTGTAAATAGGATCACAAGTCTGCATCTTGTACAGCAATTAACCACTAAGAAGAATATATGCAGTGTATTATTTGTTGAAAAAAAAAAATAAACGAAGGATATAAAAATATGCAGTAAGAATGCTAAGAGTTTGGGGATTTAGTTTTTCCCAATTAAAATTTAACTGACATTTAAATATTAACTATAAAAAGCCAAGGCTGCGGTGTGGGGGCGATAGAACGCTCCTGTTATATTTTCCCTTATTTGGCCAGGAAGCGCCGCAGCACCAATCCCTGCGTGCCCGGCCTCTTTCGTGGTCCCGACCTCTGCTGCCAATCAGCAGCCAGTCCCGCCCAACTACTTCCGCTGCCCGGCTCTTGAGACCCACTCACTTGCTCAATGAACGAGACTTGATCTGAAAGCCTGTCTGTGTCCGTCCCTCGTGTCTGTTGCCTGTCCTGTTCATCCCCGTTCCTCCTCCACGTCCTGACTCGGGGACGAGTCAAGTGGCGCCCAGCGTGGGGCCTGGCACGCGGGGCTCAACGAGGGAGCCGGTGGAGAGCCGCGCCCGAGCCGCGGTGAGTGAACGGCCGCCCTGCCCTTCCCGGCCCGGGTCGGGCGTTAGCGAGCGTGAGCTCTTCGCGGAAGGCCTCAGCGAGGCACTCAGGACGCGAGGGATCAAGGTAAAGGAAAAGGATTTGTTACAGTATTTTAAGTTCATTCAGGAGGCCTGCCCGTGGTTCCCGTTGGAGGGCACGATCGATTCTAAAAGATAGAAACGCGTGGGCGATGCATTACAGAGTTTTTGGTCCAGAAAAGGTCCCAGTCACAGCCTTCTCATACTGGACTCTGATTGATGAGATTCTTACGCAGCGACATGGGGACCCCTGGTCAGGGACATGATTACCCAGGGGGAGGCCGCCCTGCGCGACTCGCGCAGACCCACTCCGGCCCCCCTCGGGCTGGTTCAGACGTCTCCTCTCTCCACGGTGAGGAGGCGAATGCAGTGTTAACTAAGCCCCAAGGTAACGAGCAGCTGCCGCCGCCTCCGCCCGAGCCCCGCTCCTGGCCCATTATACACCTTTGTATCCCGACCTGACTACTTTACAAGAGGTCGACTGGGAAGACTTAGCCAAAGAGGCTTCCAAATAGGGTCCTGACCCTGTTACGGCCCCAGTTACTGCAGAACCATCCCCTGATGATAATGAAATGTCCACCTGTGCTCCTAAATTTTCCAGTGTGCTTTTGGATCTGGAAACTCGACTGTTTGAGAGGCTTACGTCACACTTGCAATCCCTGCAGGCTGATCAGACACGAGGTGCTCCCACGATGGCGCCTGGGCTCAGTAGGCCCGGGCCCAAAAGGGCGCCTGAACACGGTAGGCCCCCGCCCCAAATGGCGTTCGGGTTTCAGAAGTGATGACCCCCGGCTGAGCCTCGGGCTGTTAGAGCGCATGCCCCTTTTATTATAACTGCACTGAAAGAATTAAAGACCGCAGTTGCTCAATATGGCCCTACCACAGCTTATGCATTTCAGGATAGTGTTGTCACCTTTCAAACAGATTCTTCTTCAGCACAATTGACAGAACTACAAGCTGTCATGGCTGTTTTTAATGCCTTTCCAACTCAGCCTTTCAATATATATACAGACAGAGCCTATCTTGCACAATCCGTACCTCTCTTAGAAACAGTTGGCACTATCTGTAGGACTTCTCCAGCTCCAAATCTGTTTAGACAACTGCAAACACTAATCCATCTTCGGAAACACCCGTTCTTCATGGGACATTTGAGAGCTCATACTAACCTGCCTGGGCCCTTAGCAGAAGGGAACCAAAAAGCTGATTTGGCCACTCGAGCTCAGGTTTTCACCACCATCCTACATGATGTCCATGCTGATCGCTCTGGTGACAGCATGCTTGCTGCTCAACATAGCCATCAGTTACATCACCTAAATGCACAAACCCTTCGGTTTATGCACAAAATAACTTGTGATCAGGCCAGACAGATTGTTAAAAATTGTCATTCTTGTGCTGTAAATCTCCCTGTACCCCATTTAGGTGTAAACTCTAGGGGGTTGATACCCAATGCATTGTGGCAGATGGATGTTACTCACATAACAGAATTTGGTAAATTAAAATATGTTCATGTAATTGTTGATACTTATAGTGGATTTATTTATGCTTCCCTCCAAATGGGTGAAGCTACCAAACATGTCATTGCTCACATGCTGACTGCCTTCTTGGTTTTGGGGTGCCCCCAACAATTGAAGACTGATAATGGTTCAGGTTACACCAGTGTTGCTTTTGCTCGATTTTGTAAGACACTCAATATTCTTCACACTACAGGTATACCATATAACCCCCAAGGACAAGGTATTGTTGAAAGAGTGCACCTCTCATTAAAGCTCACCATTAACAAAATAAAAGGGGGAGATTGGCATCCTACTCAAGGGTCTCCCAGAAATACAGTATCCCATGCACTCTTCACTCTTAATTTTTTGATCTTGGATGCCAATGGTCACTCTGCAGCATCCCACTTTTGGCACACTCAAACACAGACTCAATTCGCCTCGGTTATGTGGCGAGACCCCCTGACGGGCACTTGGAATGGTCCTGACCCAGTTCTCATATGGGGACGAGGATCAGTATGCATCTATTCTCAGCATGCAAAATCAGCCAGATGGCTTCCTGAGTGCCTAGTCAAACAAATAGGCTGAAAGACACTGATGACGAGCCCAGGCTGCGGCTTTGTAGTAAGTGGCTTGTCCTACACATACATCAGCTCCCAGCCACAGGTCCTCTCCGGCGATGCCTGCTCCTGGCAGACACTCCATGCCCCGCGCTGAAGCCACTCAGGTGCTTCCCCGTCCCTTCCATCCAGGTACCCCACTGGCCCGTTTTATTTGTTGGGCAAACAGTTCTGTCACCATCTCTCCTTCACCTTGTCCGTGGGCATCTTCCTCCCATGCTGCCCCTAGGCCTCTCCTGCACCACGCCTGGCTGCTCCGCTCAGTTCCTCTGCCTGGCCCCTGCTTCCCAGTGCTCTTTGAATAAGGCCAAAATCTTTAGCAATTCAGTACTTCATACGTAGCAAAATAAATGCACAACCACCTCTAGGCCCCTCTCCCCCTTTGCTTCCTGCACCACGACTTAGCCGCCTACCCCTCTGGGCAGGTTTACCTCCGCGGTGAAGGACCTGCCACTCTCCTGCGATCCAGGCCTGCCTGGGTGCATACAGGATTGTGTAGCGTGTGACCACTGTCTCAGGGCCGTCGGGGGGCTTCCAGGAAACCAGGGCCGTGTCATCCTCGATCAGCGTCACTTTCACTCCAACGGGGGGGCCTGCCGGTGCTGTGTGCACAACAGGAGAAGAAAACCTGCATTACTGGGGCAAACGGCGCAAGGCCTACAACCACAAGCGGAGGGAAACCAAGTGGGGCTGCAGAAGCCACTGTGAAGAAAGCTGAACACCCCACTTTTAGATCTTCAACACCATCAGGGAAAATACTGTCATTTCTTCCTTTTTAAAAATCTTATTTAACTTCATGCTTAAAATATTAAAACAACAACAGCAAAGGGCTGGGGATGGTGGTTCCTTCCCCTAGTTTTGCTATGTGAGAAGCAGGAGAACCACTTGAATCCTAGACCAGGGCCCCAAAGCAAGATTCTGTTTCAAATATAAATATAAAAAGAGAAGGAGGGGCTAGGGAGATAGCTTAGTGGTCTCAGTGTCTGCCCGGCAGGTACAAGGTCCAGGGTTGAACCCCCAGTAACGCATGCTGTGCTGGCACCCTGCCAAGCCAGCCACTAAAACTGGGCGTGGTGGTGCACACCTGTAATCCCAGCACTGGGGAGGCTGATACAGGAGGGTCCTATGCAGCTGAGCTGTGAGACCCTGTACCAAGTAAATAAATAAATAAATGATTAAAGGAGAGAGAGAAGGTGCAGGAGGTGGGGGAAAGGAAGGAAGTACTAACTCCAGGCAGTGGCTTCTGCGGGACTCCTGAAATGGGCTTGTGAAGATGCCTAACGAGAAAGGCTTACAGTTCTCCAGCAGTACGTGCCACCAGTCTGAGCTCTGTGCCACGGAGGACGGCCTGACTGTCTCACAGCCTCTGAGACCCAGACCCGTGGAAAGGCAGTGAGTTTGCAGAGCAAACTGAGAACTAATGGTCCGTATCCGCAAAGAGCCACAGCGTCTGGAGCGCAGTGGACCCGTGTCTTCCAAGGAGCACACGCGGACTGGGCTGGCAGCGCCAGGCCTCCTGTGGTGAGAAGCCCCGTGTGTCCAACATGGCAGCATAGCGCCTGGCTCACCCGCCACCACACAGCATGGGTCCTCGTGGGCTCCTGGTGCCAACAGAGGCCACAATTCTGTTGCTGCTGTTTTCGGGCTTGTGGCAGCACTCAGGAGCCGCACAGTGACCAGGAAGCTATGGAATGGCCCCCTTAGGACAGCCAACAACCTCAGCTCACCTGCCTGGTGACCTTCTAGTAGGGAAAGAAGCAAAGGAGGAGCATTTTTTGGTGGTACTGGGGATTGAACTCAAACCCTTGTTCTTGCCAGGCAAGTGCCTATTCTACTGAGCCATCTCCCCGGCCCAGGCGCATGTCAAAGGAAGTAAAACACACACACAAATGTCAACTAGAAGCGGGGAATGAGGTGGTACCCTTCTCAAGGTGCTGAGCATTTGAAGCATTTCCTGAAGAGCTGCAAAGAGGAAACGCACAGGGAAGCCAATCCCCTTACCCTCTGGAAGTGTGCTGTGGTAGACCACGGGGCTCCAGGGGCTGGAGAGCTGCCCCACGTGCAGCCGGACCGCAAACTCGTACTTGGTGTTGGGCTCCAGGCCCTGAACCAGCATATGTGTTTCTGATCTACAAGAGAGTAATGCAGTGGCTAAGAGGTCATCAGCATTCCCGCCCAGACAGGCAGCACACCCTGCTCTAATTCCTTAGCGCCTCCTTGTCTTTAAACGCAACTCTGTTGACAAAGGGAGCCTAATTTGTTACAGAATTACAGGTGCATCACTCTACAGAAATAAGGCTACAAGCCTGCGGATATACCTCAGCGGTGCAGCCTGCCTGGCAAGCCAAGGTCCTGAGTTCAATTCCCGGTACCCCCCCAAAAGAACTAAGACAAGCTGTTCCTTTGTGAGGAAGCCAGAAACTGAGGAGAAAGAAACACTGGCGTGTATAATCGCCCTGTGTGCTGGTCTTGGGCCTGTCTGCCATCCATCAGTGACACAGTGGAATGGGAGTTTCCCACCTCCTCCAGGCACCCTTTCAAGGCATCATGATGGACGCCTTTTCTTAAAAGACAAGGCTGGACTTTAACTCATTATGGAGCCCAGGCAGGCCTCAAAGTCACAGCGATCCTCCTGCCTCAGCCTCCTAAATTCTGGGATTACGGGCGTGCGCCACCCTACCTCACTGGATGCCTTTGTAATTCTGACCTCAAAAGCAAGAATGACCACTAGCTGTTTTCCAATGCCAGCAAGAAAACGGTCTTTTGCTTCTTTCCTTAAACATGCTAAGGTTAGCGATATCTCCTTGCTTTATCTTGTTGCACAAGGCTGAGAAAAGTTTAAAACTCACATATAAATTAACGTGAAAACATGCAGTTCTGAAAAGTGAATACAGTAAAATTATTAGAGGCAAAACTCCCAGCCACTTTATTTTCAGGTTTGTTTTGTTTTTTTGTGGAACCGGGAATTGAACTCAGGCCCTTGCACCTGCCAGGCAAGCATTTACTCTACTAAACTATTTTCCCAGCCACTTTAAAAGTAACTTAAGGCCCGAAACACACAGCTGAAGTGCCGTGTGGCCCAGGCCACAGGACGTATGGCACATCCCACATCGGGCCTTGGCAGGGCTACGTACGTCTCCAGGTACAGCACCAGGGAGGCGTTCTGCAGGCCCACGGGGTTGCAGCGGATGGTGTAGTTGACGGTCTGTGCGGCAGTGAATGCAGGCCTCCGCCAGTGCAGGAAGACGGAGGAGGAGCTGTTGGCCTTGGCATAGAGATGGTGGGGTGGCGGCGGGGGAGGGACCACGCGGTCCCGCACAGCTGTGGAGAAAGGAATGTGGGTGTTGCAGGCAAGACAGGACAGCCTGCCAGGCGGCGGGACTGCTCACCGTCCTGCTCCACCCTGTGTGCTGGTCTCGGGCCTGTCTTCCACCGGTGACCCAGTGGAATGGAGGTTTCCCAGCCTCTCCTGGCACTTCCCGAGGGAGGCAAGGAGTCGCATGTCACCAGCACAGAGCAGAGATACAGAAGCCAAGCTCCTACACAAGTGTCCAGGCCTGGCGGGGACACACGAGCGGGTGAGCAGCCCCTTCGCAGCAGCCACATGGGAGAGCAGCCAGAGAGAAACAGCAGTCAGAGGACTTGGGGTGTCGGGGCGCAGGCTCGATTTCAGTAAGACTCCTGGCTGTGTGCTTGCAGAGCTGACACGGGCACGCGGCGTTTGAAAGCCCTGCTGCGCACCTCCTTCGCGAGCACCTTCTTGTCTAAGGCACTGCTAGGCGGTGGGGAATGGTGGTCGCTGACTGAGACCCGGGGGGGCGCAGGCACTCACACACGCATCCCGGTGTGCTGACGGTCTGGTCAGCCTGGTAGCCGTCCTCCACGTTGTTGTAAGCCAGCAGCCTCACGTGGTACTTTCTTCTGGGGTCTACAAAGCAACCAGCAGGTAATCGTTAGGGCCAGCACTCTGGGTGAGAACAGATTTCTGGACAGAGGCTTTCTGAATTCTGGGTCAAAAAGAAATCTCTGTGGGCGTGTAGGGGAGTTGAAGAGCAGAGCATGGAACCCAGGCCTTTGCCCTGTGCTATGCTGGTATTTCCTTTTATTTTTTTGAGACAGTTTCTTGCTAAGTCATATATCACCCAGGCTGGGCTTGAACTCGCAGTCATCTTGCCTCAGGCTCCAGCAGTGCTGGGATTACAGATGTGTACTATCACACCTAGCTTAAACAGCCCTTCTACCTGAAAATTCTAAGTAAAATGGCGTTATTCTTCCCCAGCGGGGTGTGGCTCTGGACGCCCCTTGGCGGGAGCCTGCGCTGCGGCTGAAGGTCACACGGCTGGGCCATTCCTCCCCTTCCGCCCAAGCGGCCCGGGCCGGGTGCCCCGCTGGACTTGGCGTCCAGGCAGTCCCACTCCGGGGCGGCACGCGTGGGCGCATGCTTCCCCGTGGAGAGGCCATCACTACGACGCCCTAAGCCTAAGCGGCTCCGGACGGGCGGGCGGGCGCGGGAGGCACCCGCAAACGGCACTGAGGCGAGGCGGGCGGAGCTCCCCCTCCTGGTGCCCAGCTGCTACTGCACACCAGAAGCCCATCTCGCCGTTCTGCCGGCACTTCAAGGCGATACTGTAAAGTGGCCACGATTTTTCAGTAATGAACTAAACAAAATTGAAGGTAACACAAACACATTTGAATATAACCATAGCTGGGCGTGATGGCCCGGGCCTGTGTTCCCAGGAGGATGGGTGTAAATTTAAAGCCAGCTCCGGCTACACAGTGAGACCCTGTCATAGAAAAAACAAACCAAAAAAAAACCAGAACACAAAACTCCAAAAAATATTTAAAAATTAATCGAATAAAGATAACCGTGATGATGTTTAACTATAAAGTACCTTCTTCGAAAAGAGTAAATACTACTCAGAGATGCTGTATTTCCCTGCCATGCTTTCCTAAAGGACACGAAACATGCACAGTGAATTCAGTGTTGCCTGCGGAGGGCACGCTCAGTACATCCGGCCAGTGTGGACAAGACGTGAAGTTAAGGGCAGCAGTAATTCTAGAGAGAATTCGGACATTTAGGTTAAAAAGTAGGGTGGGCAGTTTATGAAAATCTCCAAGGCAATTTAAGTCTATAAATATTCTAGAAATTGAAAAATATATTCTAATATTTGGCAGATGAGTGCAAAAAGTATCATAAAAGATACAATTTCCACGTACTTTGACAAAATTGAAACCTACAACTGGCAAAACCCCTGTTCTCTGAGAGAGAGAGGCAGGAGCCTACTGCGGGCTCCGGAGCCCGGGACAGCACCTCGCCTCGGTTTGGCCGCCAGTGGAGCGGCCTGACGGATGCAGCTCTTGGCGTGAATCTCGGTGCCGAGCGCACAGGCCTGCGCAAGTTTTTCACTCCTGATTCTCACTTGTTTGGCTGGGAACCTGGAGCGGTCTAGGCCCTCCCTCATGGGGCTGTTTTGAGCATTCAATGAAATATGGCCTATCAAGTACTTCATTCGGGGCCAGGGACAGAGCTTAGCAGTACTCTGCTTGCCTGGAAAGCGCAAGGTCCTGAGTTTAATTCACAGAACAAAAATAAATAACTACTTTGTACAGAACACTGTATACTCAGTATAGGGTCTTACTACACAGATCAGAAGTCCAGTGATCCTCCTGTTTTCAGCCTCCCAAGCACTGGGAATACAGGCGCACGCCACCATGCCCAGTCTCATTTGCCCTCTCAGTATGCCCCAGGGGTGGGGCCCGCATGGCACACTCGGGATTGAACCCCAGTCCCTGAGTCTGCCTAAGCATGTGCTTTAATCTGCTGAGCTATCTGGCCAGCCCCCACTACAGTTGTAATGATGAGGTCAGGCTGCCCAGGAGAACAGAAAGGGCAGTACCAGAAATATGGTACCTTAAAAAATTTCAGAGTCAATATCACAAGTACTCATATAAACAGGACCCAGAGCCTGGGCCATCGGTGCACTCCAAGTTGGAAGACACCAAGCTGATGCCCCTGGCTGTCCTCAGGGGGGCCCGAGTCTGTCCATGCACATGTGTGACCCAAGGGCTGGGCTGTTCCTGGCCCGGAAGGTGCTTGCTCTTTTGGGGACTGCAGCTTGTCACAACTAACCCTTTCTAGGGCAAATCCACCCACCCATGACCTTCACATTAATCTAATAACCTCCCATCTGCTAACAGAGAGACATCACTGACTGTAAAGGCTCTGGAAACAAGTCGCCTCCCTAGCTGAAGAACAGTATTGTTTCATAAAAGCAAAATCTGCAAGAGTTTGAGAGCAAGCAGATGGACACAGAAATGAACTCAATCTGTTGATTATGTCCGTTTTTGTAATGGGCTCATTACCTACAGTGACCACAACTCTGATCAACACAAACGAAAGCCAAGGAAATGAGACGTTTTGTCCATCAGAACCCTTAGACAAGGGTGCACCTGCAATCCCAGAACTCTAGGAGGCTGAGCCAGGAGGATCATAAGTTCGAGCCCAGCCAGGGCCACTTAGCGAGACCTTGACTCAAAAGACATTTCAGAGAAGACGGGGGTATGTAGCTCAGTCCTCAGTACCACCACCATCAAAAGAAAAAAAGCCTTGTCGAGAGCCTGTCCATCCCATCCGCACTGCACAGGATTTACAGCAATAGGGCACTGGCCGTGTCTTTCTGTGACGTCTTAAGATACTAACATACGTGGTAGGATTTGACCACTGGCTCCCTGCAGCGTGAGCCCGAAGTCTCAGCCCATCGGCCCTCCAGCTGCCTTTCTCTAAGCTTACATTTCTCTTCTCGGGCACCAGATGGCGTTGGTGTCTGCAGGGTGTGTAGACCCTGGCCAGGCTCCAGGGCTCAGGCCTGGGCTACTAGTATGGTCACCCAGCTGCAAGACAAAAAACAAAGATACTGACTTGAGCCAGTGTTTTCATGAATTTTTTTTTTTTTTTTCAGTACGGGGGATTGAATGCAGTACCCTGTGCTTGCCAGGCAAGTGCTTATTCTACTGAGCTATCTCCCCAGCCTCCATGAATGTGTTTCACATGAAATTCAAAACCTCAGACTAAGGTGGTGTTGCTGCTGCTCTTCTCTGCAGAGGACCCGAAGGGCTTTCCTGATAGGTCTGCATGAGAAGCCAAGGGGCAGCACAGTGGTTAAAGCCAGCTTTCCCTCCGTTCTTCGCACTGTGTGATACACAATAGGCAGCTTCCTTCTTCGTACCGGCTCTAAAATGAGCATGACCATCTCCCTGGTATCCATCTCCGAAGCTGTGGAAGGGAAATCTTTATTCACAGAAAGTGCTGAGAGTGCCACAGCACAACAGCAGCATCCGGGAACATCTGCCTGGGGTGCGGGCCCTGCATGCTGGGGCTGGGATGCGGTAGTCTGACACACAGGGCCAAGCATGGGGTAGGCGCATCCTGGGCCTGTGTGTCCCCAGCAGCCGTGCCGGTCCAGGGGAGGACAGGCGCTGGTGGGAGCTGCTCTCCTCAGCTATGAATCAGGGATGAGGGAGCCTCTGTTCAATGCTTAGGGAAAGGCTGGGTGCTCAGCAGGTGAGTGCTGCAGTCGGGTCACAGAGCGCTCCTGCGCCTCGCCCCGCCCGGCCTTGGGGATTTGATCACTGAATGGAATTGCAGAGGGGAAGGGGAGGCGGGCAGGAGAGCGCTCCCTCCCACCCGTAGGCCGTAGGCCGGGTCTAGCAGCCAGAGAGCGGCTTGGGCACTCAGCTCCTGTTCCTGAGGCATTTTCTGAGGCCAGGGCCCGAGGCTTACTCCTGTCCCAGAGAAGTGTGCGTCCTGAGGGCTTCCTCTCCTGCCCAGGGCTGCAGACCAACCGCTCCTGTTTTACCTGCTTCCTGTGTGGGCTTCCTGTGTGGGTGACACCTGAAAACAGCCTGGTCTAGGCCCTGATGGGGAGACGCTGGTGCTGCACCCAAGACATTCCAGGACTGCCCTGGCTGATGGCAGCAGGCCGGCTGCATCTGGAAGACGCAGGTGTAGACAGCTTTGGATAGCCAGGGCGGGGCCGAGGGAAGTGGTGACACTGGGGCATGAAGACCCAGCCTGTGCCCCTTCCAGCCACCACCTCTACCTGGAGCAATTTAGAGAAAGCCTGCAGGCAGGACAGGGAGGAGATGTCCCCATCTGAGTGTGTTCCCACAATGCCACTTCCAAAATCCCAATCTGATAAGGATATAGAGTTTGATTTCCCAGTTGTCTATGGAGAAGTCAAAGACAGTGGAAAAATAACCACCCTCGAGTGCAAGGTCCCCCGTTCAAGCCCCAGTGCTGGAAAATAAAAATCCTCCTTGCACCAATGGAAGAGAAAGCAGTCACACCTACTTTAGTGCCAGCCTGCTACTCAATTATAGACATGAACATATGAGGGTTGCCTAATGAGATGCCCTAAGAAAATAAGCACTCTGTCTAAAAGCATCACTGTGCAAAGCCAGCCTGGGCTACACAGTGGTCAGCGACCAGCCTGGGCTACACAGTGAGACCCTGTCTCCGGAAGACAAAACAATCACTACGTGTTGCTTTCCGTTGTTTACTTTTCACATTGCTCCACACCTGTGATCCCAGCATGTTTGGACGCTGAGGCAGAAGCATCACAAGCCCAGCCTGGGCAAACTCAGTGAGATCCTGTCTCAAAATTTTAACCAATTTTTAAAGGGTTGGAAAAGTATGAAGGCCTCACACTTGCCCTCCAAAGCTGCCCATAACAACCAACCAAGCCAGCCCCACAGCCACTGCTACACAAAAGCTTGGCCAGAACAAGAGCAGTGACAACTCAGCTTGAAGTGTCTGACACAGCATCCACCTGGAGTGTGCACATGAGTGCAGCCAAAGCCTGAATGGCCCCCTGGGTTGGCAGCTGGGTGGGCTTGAGGCCCCCAAAGGGCAGGGTCTGGCCGCACGTG